CCCCCCCCCCCCCCCCCCCCCCCCCCGCTTCCCGTCGCTAGAAAGTTGGATAACTTCAAAACCGTTCAAGCTGGGACCACCGAACTTTAGCGACTTTTCCTTAGAAAAGACCGCTTTTTTTTTTAGAGAAAAATTTGGTAGCGTCAAGGTGCTTTAAATGAAAAATACCAGACCTGATGTGCGTCGCTCAAAACCGCCTTTGCTTAAGTTCCCTAATATGCAAACCAAAAAACACCCTGAGAGTTCAAATTTTTAGCGATCAAGAGGAATCAATTGTTTGGCGTTGTAAGCCATCAGGGGTATTTTTACAGAACGCCGAACCAGGAATGAAGAAAAACTGAATGACTCTGAGGTTTGGTGATAAGGGTTTGGAAACGGAGTGAATCAATTTTCAAGTTTCAGGTAAGTTTTTCACAAAACTAGGACGCAAAACGAACGAAAGTTTAAATACTAAACTATTTCGCTTTTTAAGAAAGTAAAAGGAACCAACATCATACAGACATTATTAAAAAAACTGAAATGAAGTTTGTTTGTGACATGTTTCTCAAATACCACACGAGGCTTATTTGATTTCTGATTTTTAAAATGAGGGGAGTTCTAAAGCTTTATTGTGCTTCACTGTACACTCTAAGAGATGGATTTCTTGGTAAGCTCCTGGTAGTGTAGCGTACATATTATATCGTAAACATAAAATCAGGCCCGTTTCAAACGTCGTGCTACCGCCGCGCCGAACTCAATTGATCGAAATAAATTCGACTTTAGCACGGCAGTAGCGCGACGTTTGAAACCAAGTCGTGCTACTGCCGTGTAGCACGGCAAGCCTTGCCGTGCTACACGGCAGTAGCTCGACTTGGTTTCAAACGTCGTGCTCCCGCCGTGCCGAACTCAATTCATAAATCATAAATACATTAGAACACATTTAAAGGCTTGCTAAACCGTTTCTTAATTTTTGTGTTTTGTTTTCGGTAACAGGCGTTCTATTCTACTGAACTAAATTCGACGTCTGAAACCAAGTCGTGCTAGTGTCGTGCTACACTCAAGCTACAGTCGAGCCAGTTTAGCACAGCAGTAGCACGACGTTTACAACAGGTCTCATTTCCGTTTTTTTTTTCAATGTTTGTATTGGAAGCATGCTCTCTTCACTTTCTGGAAAGCAAAACAGTTCCAAATGTCGTTCGTTTTGCAGGGTTAATCTTGATTGGTGGCATGAGGTTTTCAGAGCTAAATAAAGTGTTATAATACATCTTATCACCGCTATATTCGATTGTTGGGTTCGTTAACCTTGCAGTATGAAACAGCCGTTGAGGGTTTCATAGCCGAAGTCAGGCGCCACACACTTCCTCAGAAGAAGGTGAGTAGTTTGACCTCCCCTTAATACCAAGAAAAATTCACAACATTCGCTTGCGGTCAATAAATCCCCGCCATTTCTATTAATTTTCATACGCTCGCTCAACGATCTTAAAAGAGAAGAACGGGCTAGCTTTTCCTAAGTATTATTAAAGATTTCTAGGCAATATTTGCTCCTTCCAACAAATTTTTTTCAGTATCTCTTTTTTCATAACTGGCTCAGAGGTTGAGGAGAACAAAAGGAAGTATGTCGCATTGAGATTTAATTTTCATATATTCCCTATCTCGGTTTCTCAGGCCTAATTAACATTCCGTGAGTTGTCGCCCTTTCTGCTCTTCGTTTGTCTCTTTGAATGAACAACATGTCCTTTGCTTTGACTGTCAGTCGCGAGAACAACATCACCCCAACGTAACTTTGAATTTCGTTATTCTGTGCAACCTCTGAGACCGAAGTGTAAAATATTACTCGGGCACATTATTTCAGTTCTTTTTGCTTTGCCTTCAATGAGTCTCTCAATCTCGTAAATTCGGGATCAATGAATAGCCTTTTCCCTTTTTCACACCTTGTAAGATATAAACGGTCAACGCTTGATAAGATTCCTCTGAGAGAGGACGGCTTATATTGTTCTCTCTTCTTCGTTAATTCTAGCTACAATAATGAATTCACTGAGGTATACATTCAGCTCCCTCGGTGGGATTGTCTCTAATAGTCTCTCTTCTTTCCGTACTCGCAAAGAAATTTTAGAACAATGTTCAGGTCATACATCGTCTTTTTATTCCTATTTTCGTTTTCTTGTTGAGCAATAAGCTCGTCAACATCATCTCCTGACACATCAATAAATCTGAATTTAAAATCATCGTCCATCGGATCTAGAATGTTTAGATTCCAAGGTAAATCGTCCCCCATTCTGAAGATGCGTCAAAACTACTCAACAAAATCGCCGCTGCGAAAGGCGCGATTTATTATGTAACCATAACAAGGCTGATCTTTTCACGCCGCTAGGGTCGTATACGATCCCTATGGAACGATGTTAATACATTCCTTCCCGGACCCATTTACCTTTCAGTTTAAGTTAATAAATTGGTAAGCAACAACGTCAGCAAAGATATATCTTTCCGGCGATACTTCGTTTTGGATATTCTGACCAATCCTGACAGAGTTACACTCACAAAAAAAGGGTAACAGTTTGGGGAAAAATCCACTGCAAATTTCCCTGCTTACATACTACTCTTTGAAAATTAAATCCGTCCTTTTCCTAAAAAGTTAGGCAACCACAATTCCGTGCGAAAGAAAGACAATAAAGGGGGCAACGAAACTACCAATAAAGAAGGAAAAGAAGGGAAAAAAAGAGAGCGAGAGTGAAAGATCGAAATAGATTCTTAAAAAAATAAATTGGCTTTTGCGCATGCATGAAAAACAAAAAAGCTGTTTAATTACGTCAAGTTAGTCGGAAAATATGCCTTTTTTCTTGCAAAACTCGTCTTTTGCTAATTAGCCGAAAACCAGTCCAAAGAAGAGGAATTGGTGAAAAATAAGGCTTTTTCTCTACTCGCCGGTCGTCACCAAAGGGTTAAAACGCATTTAGACATATTCTGACTGCAAATACAAAGGAAACGTTCCAAAGAATATTTATTTACTATTTTGGCTATGAAAAGAAAGCTCTGAGCGATTTTTTTTGCTTCGAGTTCATGTTGAGCAAATCAAGCAAACACAGGGAAGCTGCAAGGATTTTTTAAAATTTATTTTAACTTGTCCTTACCTGATTCATGATTTTCTGAGACACTTTACTCTCAATACTTGACTAAGTGAATGAGTACTCAAAAAGCCGCGCGTAAAAATCAAACGCTTTTAAAGATTGCTCATACATGTAACAATACCATAAATAAAGGGAAATAAAACTTAAACATAATAAATTCTCTATCATGTTGAAGCGTAACTCTATTAATGTTCACTCAAATAACAACAGCCGGCACTGGAAATTTAGTGCTTGTCAAAAGTGAGAACATGTCCGGCTGGCCGTATAGGTGATTTTGGGAATTTTTTGATCGCATTCACTGAAAGCCCATACTTATNTAAAGAAGGAAAAGAAGGGAAAAAAAGAGAGCGAGAGTGAAAGATCGAAATAGATTCTTAAAAAAATAAATTGGCTTTTGCGCATGCATGAAAAACAAAAAAGCTGTTTAATTACGTCAAGTTAGTCGGAAAATATGCCTTTTTTCTTGCAAAACTCGTCTTTTGCTAATTAGCCGAAAACCAGTCCAAAGAAGAGGAATTGGTGAAAAATAAGGCTTTTTCTCTACTCGCCGGTCGTCACCAAAGGGTTAAAACGCATTTAGACATATTCTGACTGCAAATACAAAGGAAACGTTCCAAAGAATATTTATTTACTATTTTGGCTATGAAAAGAAAGCTCTGAGCGATTTTTTTTGCTTCGAGTTCATGTTGAGCAAATCAAGCAAACACAGGGAAGCTGCAAGGATTTTTTAAAATTTATTTTAACTTGTCCTTACCTGATTCATGATTTTCTGAGACACTTTACTCTCAATACTTGACTAAGTGAATGAGTACTCAAAAAGCCGCGCGTAAAAATCAAACGCTTTTAAAGATTGCTCATACATGTAACAATACCATAAATAAAGGGAAATAAAACTTAAACATAATAAATTCTCTATCATGTTGAAGCGTAACTCTATTAATGTTCACTCAAATAACAACAGCCGGCACTGGAAATTTAGTGCTTGTCAAAAGTGAGAACATGTCCGGCTGGCCGTATAGGTGATTTTGGGAATTTTTTGATCGCATTCACTGAAAGCCCATACTTATTACCCTACATATGACATAGGAACATATTTTTCTGACTGAACAGTCGCTGCATTATGGTATTCTCTTCATGAAAACGTTTTATAATGTGGTCAATTCTATAATTTGAAGGAGTTGGATAGACTAAACATGGTTAGATAGACTATGAATTAACCTTATAAAATAAAGGTGTTGTAGGTGGACGACTGGGTTATTTTGTTTGGAAAGAATTTGTTCTCCAGCCCTGTCCTACTGTGACCGAAGACGAAAAACTGATTTGTTTGACTCTTGGAAGGTAAAATTATCGTTCTCTAAAATCACTTAGCCTTTCCCTAAAAAGTCAAATGAATGTGCCCTGAAGTTAACTGATTTGTGGATTACAAGTGTATTGTTTGATTTAAATTAAAAATTTATTAATGGGAGCTTCGCTATTAGCTCTGGCTAAATCTATATATCATTTAAAGAATTTAGTGAGTGTTTCATATTGCAAACGGTAAGCAAAGATATCAAACAGCGTGGGGGAAGGAATCAGGAGTAAGATAGAACCTGGGTTCGCCGATTGTCAAATCTTGTGACTGAAATAGTTTTATTCTCCAGATTTTTTATCAGTACGCCGGTACGGTGTATGATGGTAAACAGTAGGCTACAAACTACTCTTAGATATTCTGCATTTGCAGATTCAACAAGTATACAATAAGCCAAAGAAACACTAGTCATGCAACACTTATAATCGTGACCCACCACAGTAAATCTTACATGGAATTAAGCTTGATTATCTTGCTTAAGAATCTTGTTTCCTGCACTTTCTTACTCTTAAAATATTTTTTCCTCAAGGTTAAGAAAAAAGCGTCATGGACAACATCTTGGATATTCTACAGAACATTCATATTGGTGCAGTCGTTGCAACTTTCCTTTTTAACACTGGACGTATTACATGTTTAAAAGCAGTACACATCTTTAACGAATGTTTGGTTCTCCTCAACGGCAAAGCCCTAGAGACAATCAAAGAACTTACCACACCACTTGTTATCTATGTATACCATAAACTTCTTGATGGGTATACTCTTATGTACGATCACACAAGGGCGATAGAATGTGGTAAAAAACTTCAAGTGACACTACACAATAGTGGCCAAAAAGAGAAAGAAGGGATAATATTACTTAAACTAGCGAATATCTACTATCAAAGAAGCAAATACGAGGAAGCAAAACAGTTTTACGAGAAGGCACTCAGCATCATGATTGAGACTGGAAACAATCGCGGAGTTGGAATATGTTACGGAAATCTAGGAACTGTGTTTCAATCTGTTGGTCAATATACCAAGGCTGAAGAATACATTTGGAAAGCACTAGTGATCAGGAAAAAAATTGGTGACAAACAAGGAGAAGCATCAGATTACGGAAATCTAGGAACTGTGTTCCAATCGGTTGGTCAGTATACCAAGGCTGAAAAATATCTTCAAAAAGCACTAGTGATCAGGAAAGAAATCGGTGTCAAACAAGGAGAAGCATCAGATTACGGAAATCTAGGAACTGTGTTCCAATCGGTTGGTCAATATACCAAGGCTGAAGAATACCTTCAAAAAGCACTAGTGATCAGGAAAGAAACCGGCGACAAAAAAGGAGAAGCATCTGATTACGGAAATCTAGGAACTGTGTTCCAATCGGTTGGTCAATATACCAAGGCTGAAGAATACCTTCAAAAAGCACTAGTGATCAGGAAAGAAACCGGCGACAAAGAAGGAGAAGCATTAGATTACGGAAATCTCGGAACTGTGTTTCAATCGGTTGGTCAATATACCAAGGCTGAAGAATACCTTCAAAAAGCACTAGCGATCAGGAAAGAAATCGGTGACAAAAAAGGAGAAGCATCAGGTTACGGAAATCTAGGAACTGTGTTTTTTTCCGTTGGTCAGTATACCAAGGCTGAAGAATACATTCAAAAAGCACTAGTGATCAGGAAAGAAATCGGTGACAAAGAAGGGGAAGCATCAGATTACGGAAATTTAGGAACCGTGTTTTTGTCTGTTGGTCAATATACTAAGGCTGAAGAATACCTTCAAAAAGCAGTAGTTATCAAAAAAGAAACCGGTGACAAACAAGGAGAAGCATCTGCTTACGGAAATCTAGGGACTGTGTTCCAATCTGTTGGTCAATATACCAAGGCTGAAGAACACCTTCAGAAAGCACTAGTGGTCAGCAAAGAAATCGGTGACAAACACGGAGAAGCATCAGATTACGGAAATCTAGGAACTCTGTTTAAATCTGTTGGTCAATATACAAAAGCTGAAGAATACCTTCAAAAAGCACTAGTGATCAGGAAAGAAATCGGTGACAAACAAGGAGAAGCATCAGATTACGGAAATCTAGGAACTCTGTTTAAATCTGTTGGTCAATATACAAAAGCTGAAGAATACCTTCAAAAAGCACTAGTGATCAGCAAAGAAATCGGTGACAAACAAGGAGAAGCATCAGATTACGGAAATCTTGGAACTTTGTTCCAATCGGTTGGTCAATATACCAAGGCTGAAAAATATCTTCAAAAAGCACTAGTGATCAGCAAAGAAATCGGTGACAAAAAAGGAGAAGGGGCGGAATGCGGAAATCTAGGAGCTGTTTTTATATCTGTTGGTCAATATACCAAGGCTGAAGAATACCTTCAAAAAGCTCTAGTGATCAGCAAAGAAATCGGTGACAAAAAAGGAGAAGCATCAGGTTACGGAAATCTCGGAACTGTGTTCCAATTGGTTGGTCAATATACCAAGGCTGAAGAATACCTTCAAAAAGCACTGAAGATCAACGAAGAAATCGGGGACAAAGGTGGTGTTGGAGCTTCATACTTAAATCTGGGAGAACTTTGTCGAGAATTTCAGCTTAATGCGAAGAGTCGAGAATTTGCTAATAAAGCCCTTGAGATAAGTTACGAAATTCGGGACATTGAATTGCAGTTTTCCAGCCACCTTACCATTGCTCTGAACGAGTTAGTGGCAGGAGGAAGCATAACTGAACTTGTGCTACGAAATCTCTATGAAAGCATTCAAAAGTGCGAAGAAATGCACGATTGTTTCAGAATGAAAGATCAATTCAAAATTTCTTTTTTTGATGAGCATGTGTCCCCTTACCTTCTTCTTTGTAGGTTGTTGACTGCTAGAGGCAGTTATTGTGAAGCTCTTTACGTTGCCGAGCTTGGACGGTCCAGAGCACTTGCAGACATACTGTCACATAAGTACTCTGTGGAAAAAGAGGTGTCAGTGAACCTACAGCCATGGGTTGGTGTTGAGAATTTCATGAGCAAAAATGCCCCTAGTTCCTGTTTATACGTATCCTGTTTCCATGCAAATATGCGTTTTTGGATCCTTAAGCCAAACAAAACCATAGTTTTTCGACAAACGAAACTCAAAGAAAGTGCAGCTAAGGTGTTTGAAAATCAAAGATTCGGTGGCCCTCAAAATTTACGTCAAGAACATTGCGAAGATCGATCATTGTTTTCTTCATATTTAAGCTCCTTGCCATCATGCAAACCGTCTCAGGATGACACCGTCGCAACATTACGCCTTATAGAAGAAGTGGAACACGAAACGCACGACTCTGAGGCGCTCACCCTTGCTGATGGCTACAACATCATCGTCGCTCCTGTAGTTGACTTACTACAAGAATCAGAAATCATTATCATACCGGATCCACTGTTGTACCCAATTCCCTTCCCAGCTTTGAAGAATGATAATGGGCAATATTTATCGGATACTTTCAGGATTCGTATTGTACCTTCCTTGACGACTCTAAGGTTGATTCAGCAGAGTCCAGCAGACTACCATAGTAAAACCGGTGCATTAGTCATAGGAGAGCCAGAGGTCAGTGATGTATACTACCAGGGAAAACGTCTACAATTATGTCCTTTGCCTGGAGCAAGAATGGAAGCAGAGATGATTGGGCGACTGCTCGGCGTTGAGCCATTATTGGGAAAAGATGCTACTAAGCGAGCAGTCTTGGAAAGAATGCATTCCGTAAGTCTCATTCACTTTGCTGCTCATGGTTATGAGGAACGTGGAGAAATTGCTCTTTCCCCTTTAAGCCAGTGCGGAACTCCGCACGAAGTGGATTACTTATTGACGATGGCTGAAATTTCACAAGTTCGACTGACTGCCAAGCTGGTTGTCCTTAGCTGTTGTCATAGTGCTAGTGGCCAAGTGAGAGCTGAGGGAGTCGTTGGAATTGCTCGAGCATTTCTAGCATCGGGTGCACGCGCCGTGCTGGCGGCACTGTGGGCTGTAGAAGACAAAGCTACCATGCAGTTTATGAATCATTTTTACGAGCACCTTGTTCGTGGTGAAAGTGCAAGTGAATCTCTTCACCAGGCCATGAAATGGATGAGAGAGAATCGCTTCTCTGACGTTGAGCAGTGGGCGCCGTTTATGCTGATTGGAGATGATGTGACATTCAAAGGTTAGTAATTGACGCTATTTTTGGATATTGTTAAGTGTTATGTATTTTCAATCAAAAGATGTACAATTTATGTTTGTGACAACGCATTCTGATGGAAAATTCTGTAACGGGAGACATTGTTTTGTTAGTCCCATTATCTGCTGTGTTATTCTTCCCTGTACAGAGAAGAGAGGAGAACGAATCTCCAATTCATTTTATTTTGTGAATTTGTTCTGAATAATTCGTAAAGCATGCCCTGAATTCTCCATGAAAAAAACTAACTGATTGAAGAAATAAAAATGTAGAGAACGTTGGCTGAGATTTCAAAGAACACATGATAGCAATTTACATCACTGAGAAGAAACGTTAGAGTAAAAATACTTTTCTTGAGGTGATTATTTGATAAAGAAAAACATTGCATTCACTTTAAATTAGATTCATCCGCGGCGACCCAGATCGAGCAAGCTCAGAGCGACATGATAATTACCGGCGAACTCAGTAGAATGTAGAAGCAGAGTGGAAGATCTGTGAGCAGTTATTCTGGCCCAAGCAGTTCCAGAAGCATTTGATTTCGCAGCCTTTCTTCTCTGGCAAATGTGCTAAGAGCAACTCCCTTCTGTTCGCTTTCTCTTATACCGACCATTTTGTCAATAGCCCTGAGATCTCAGCGTTAGCTTGAGATCTTTACGCCAGAGCTGAATGATGTAGCGGTAGCAATGGACTATTAGCGATAACCAGCGATAGCGACTGTTATTGTTTAGCGATACTCCTAACTTTTTGGCGGTAGCCCCGAGATTTTGATTAGCGATAACAATTCATGAATTTGACGCACGTTTTTCGATAGTCCAGTGAGATATTAGCGATAGCAGTTCGATATTTTAGCGTGAACAATTTAAATTTGCCTATTATCATATGTCATTCGATTACACGATTTACACGAAAGCGACCCTGCATGATTGCGTTTTCCTTTTCCTTTTTTTTTGCAGGTGTTTTTGGTAAGATCAGTATGAAAGATGGCGAAGGTGCTGACTGAAACAAGGAACTTGTGAAGATGAGTTATCGTGACATTTAAGTTGTAAAAAAAATGCTAAGTAAATATTAACTTTTAGAAGTGGCCTTTCCTGAGTTTGTAAAGTGGACAGGTGAAATTGGTACATTTTTATTTAGGTGCCATTTTAATATGTTACAGGCGAGGTTGAAGCAGTAGATGAGCGCGCAGCGCAACTCAGGGAGGGGGTAGGCAGGATAAACAGGAGGTTAAGTTTCTACCCAGACGTCAAAGTTGCGTTGACTTTTGTCTAGCCTTTTACTATATATTCGGCGCCTCTTTCATTCTGCGTGACTCCTGCTACCCGTCAATTCTACACCTTCAGTACCATGAACCTGAGTAACTTTGGTTTTAATGACCTTGTAAATTTGCTGATCATGACGAACGTGATCAAATGGAAAATAGATATTTAAGCTAAGTCAAGTGTTCAAGCTAAGTGTTCGGTTGGATAATGTTCTGTGGTTCACTACGACACTCACGATTTTTTCTAGTTTTTTCTATACATTTCGTGTAGATACAAATAGTGATAACTTAAATCTTTTTTTCAGGAATATAAGACTAAGAGACTTTAGTTAGCAAACGTGCTTGAGGACAGTTGTGAAAAGATTGTCATTTATGTTCATTTGGATCTTTAATTTCATAGGAAATAGGTTTTTATAGACATTCACAGGCAATTAAAGTAATTTTTTTATATTCATTGTATTAATTTAATTACCTTTTTGAGTAATTTAGTATACATATTTTTATACTTTTACGTATTTTAGTAATTATAGTATCCCCAATTAGCTACTAAGCATATTTAAGACACTATAATATGATAAAGGTTTGGTCATTTTGTTGTTGTTGTTGTTTTTTGCCCTAGATCATTTACTAATAGAATATTTTATTCGCAGTATTAATCAAGAAGACTTAGAAGCCTTTCCAGGCTTATTTAGAAGATCCTCTGATAAGCCTGAAAAACGCTGGCGACATTACGTTTTCCCGTTTTTGTAAGAGGTGTTGATTAAGGGCGTGTTCCAATCCTCTGCCCCCTCCTGTCAAACTTGGGAGAGCTAATCTTTTTCCAACGTAAGCTGACAGGATTGAATAGATGGGTGTTTACTAACAATGTAAGAGTAGGGCTTTATTCTGATCCTCAGAATGCAGGCAAATTCTAAACTATTTCCAGGTATGTCACTCGGGTTATCTTATAAATCGCCACTTGACAGCATCTTTGGGTAATTCTTTCGCTCATTTCTATTAGACCAATACACCCTTCGAGTTATGTTATAGGGTAGAATTAACACTGTCTTCCGAAGCTAAAGCACTCATCAAGCAATTTCGTTCCCAGGGACAAGGTTACTTAGTGGTCTAACCGAAAGTTTATTTCATTATCAATCGAATCTAGTGTACAAACGTTTTTTTAAAAAAGCGTCTTTAATTTAAATCGTTATCAAATTATACAGAAGAACTTCCACCAATTGGATTCCCTTTCTATAATTGAGGGCGGTGGTACTGAAGATTCTTGCTGAGCTCGGTCACACAATTATGTTGAACTTCATAACTCAATGTCAATTGTCCTGCCCGATTACAAGTTCAGTGATAAATAAAATAATGATTATTATATATGAAAAGCCGCACAATTTTGCCATGATTTCGAATGCGCACATCAGCCTAGCAGTATAACATTGCGCTCCACGAGTTTCTCATGAATGTTCTGGAAGATGACAGGTGTAAATCCGGCTGGAATCCTCAGAACTGTTTCTTTGTTAGTTTTCCATTATTACAGCATCACTTGAAATAAATCATACTTTTCGCAGGAAGTAAACTTTTTGTTCCGCATTTACGGGACTGATGTTTTTATCTATTTTTTAACACGGGGGATCTTTCACTTTTGCTGTGGTAACTAAGGATGATTATTCAAAACTATAAATACAAAGACCCCAATCTATCTGCTGGTAGTTTTAAGTGAAAAATCTTAGATATAAAATTAGCACGTGATATGCCACCATAAGTTTCCTATAGGAAGAGAATGCAATAACTGAAGTTTCTTACAAAGTGCGATGGAATTATTACAAATTGTGACAGCTTAGTTGAGTATTACAAAGTGCGAAGGACAGTTGTTACAAACTGCGACAGGTTTTTTTTTTTTATTATTACGACAGGTATTACAAAGTGCATGCGATGATTATCATAAATTGCGACAGTACAAGCAACTTCCATACTAGAGCTATGTCAAGGCGTTTAAACAAACCAGTCTATTTTTAGACATATTTTGTAGTGCTCATTTTCTCTCGAAAAAAGTAACCTACACTGCATAGAAATATGACTAGGAGTTTCAATTTGAAAGTAAGAGCTGACGTTAGGGCTGGGAGACGCGAGTAAATTTCCAGAGTACAAGCAGATGATAAACGAGGAGTTGTATTTTTAGTAATTGTTTGTTTACATTTTTTAAAATTCTTTATTTGTTTATGGAAGTAATTTCGTCTAGGTCAAGAACGGTTTAAGAGTGATGAATCCCGAGGAAGAGAAGATGTTTTGTTATGTGTTTGGCTTCTCTACTATGTCTTTGTCTGGCACATCACTTCTGCTGAATACACAGAGAAACTATCGCCATGAATAAAGGAGAATTTCAATGATCGATATCTTCGCGTGCACCCTCATTTATTCGCGAATCGGCAAATAGAACCGCCAAACATATATAAATCTCTCGTGTTCCTCGAGATTCATCACTAAAAAGCTGTGTATCGAGACCTTGATGAATACTTCCACAAGTAAATAAGCCATCTAGAAAAAAAAAAAAAACAATTGTTAAAAACTCGCCTCGTTTATATTCTGCTTGCACTATAGAAATTTACTAGAACTTTCTCGATCTCGTCCAGGTGCGTTGTNTGTTTGTTTACATTTTTTAAAATTCTTTATTTGTTTATGGAAGTAATTTCGTCTAGGTCAAGAACGGTTTAAGAGTGATGAATCCCGAGGAAGAGAAGATGTTTTGTTATGTGTTTGGCTTCTCTACTATGTCTTTGTCTGGCACATCACTTCTGCTGAATACACAGAGAAACTATCGCCATGAATAAAGGAGAATTTCAATGATCGATATCTTCGCGTGCACCCTCATTTATTCGCGAATCGGCAAATAGAACCGCCAAACATATATAAATCTCTCGTGTTCCTCGAGATTCATCACTAAAAAGCTGTGTATCGAGACCTTGATGAATACTTCCACAAGTAAATAAGCCATCTAGAAAAAAAAAAAAAACAATTGTTAAACACTCGCCTCGTTTATATTCTGCTTGCACTATAGAAATTTACTAGAACTTTCTCGATCTCGTCCAGGTGCGTTGTACGTGTTGTTATCGCATAGGAGTGAGTACCCCAGATGATAAGAAAACCAATCGCGTGCACATGCTTCTGATCCTACATCCGACAAATTTTGGCCTTTTCCCACTATTGTAAAGAATAGTGTGCTGGCTCGCACAAGGCTCGCCAGCAAAAATAAAGGAATTTTCGTTACGAGGCCGAAACTACCATGTAACTTTTGAAAACCGCAACAGTGTTCTTATTGGCTAATGAAAACTGAGTATGCGATTCAATTATGTATTTGTTGTTTTAGGGTGCGTCGCAAAGTTGCCGAAATTGAATTTCAGTCGAGATTCTAGCGAACATCTTCCTCGTAGGCTCCGTGCGCGATTTCAACATGAGGCTGATGCAAGTCTTTTTGCGATTCTGCTCTTTGACTTTATGGTCTCCTCTGGTAAGTATAGATTAATTGCCAAAAATTGAGGTTTCAAAATCTTACAAGTATGAAAAACTACGCACACATGTGAGCAAAGGCCTAGTTTCTCAAGGAATTGTTTTCTTTCTACATTTTAGAACTAAAAAAAGGAACTGATTTGGTTCTTGGGACTAATGTCCTAATGTTTGTCGCGATGTAGAGGCAGTGTCGTTGACAATTCAAGCCTTAACCACTCCGGTTATTTATTTTACTGCGAGGAT